TAGTCATTTTACATTTTTTTTGTTATTATTGTTATTGAGTATATTTATCATGGACACATATATGTGTGATCAAGTGTGTGTGTGTATGTGTGTGTGCTTATGCATAGATTGCAACCCATAAGCCAATCAATGTCTATGTAGTTTTATTTTTAAATGGAATTTTCAATTTGTTCACAGAGTTATAGCCTTGTTAGGCATCTCAAATGGGCACAGTGGGTTAAGGATAAGGTTTTTGCTTGGGGTTTTATAAGGACTAGTTTTATGGTAGTGAAACCTTAAAAAGGAAAATTTTCCAAGATTAAAGCCCACCAGCGATCTTCAGTCTAAATTTCAGAATTTTCTATTCGTTTGACTAATGCCATGAATTCAATTTTTAGTACTTTTTAATACTTTTAGTACACTTATGGAATTAATATCATACCTTGTCCGTCTCCTGCCTCCGAGCAACACCCTCATTAATTTTAAGCCATATCGGCGAAGCAGTTCTTGAGATATAATTAGTGTAACTAATACGGCTTCCGTATCTATAGATAAATGACTTTCCAGCGCTCTTCTATAAATAGACTCTAAATTGAATAGAAGACGATGGAAAGCTCTTCCATAGTAAGAAGAACTTAGAAATGTTTTCTATAGCTATGGAAGCCTAGAAAGTACACCTACTTCTTAAAGTCCTTCGAAAGTCAATTGGAAATAAAACAGCCTTTCCACATAAAAAGAACTCAAAAATGGCGAAATTTGGCGAAATTAAATGAATAACATAACCAAAACTTAAACCAGTAAAGAAAGTCCTAAAGTCGGGCGGGGCTGACTTTATGATACCCTACACCACTTTGCTAATCTAGTAGAGCTCTACATAACAATTAAAAGTTTTTATGGTAGAATGATTATACTCATAATTTAAAGTTCAAAGGACTAAATATGACGAAGCATTTTTATCTTTTAAATTCGGATTTTTATTGCCCATTTGGTGCACAATAAATTTAAAATCGGATAAATATATATATGGGAGCTATATCCAAACCGGAACCGATCTCGATGAAATTTGGCAAAGATATTTCTGAGCTGTATTTGATATATTTCCCTGAATATCGTTGTTGCGGAGTGCATATTACGGCTGTGGAGGACAAAAATAACCAGTCGGATGAACAATATATATGGGAGCTATAGCTATATCTGAACCGATTTTCACCAAATTTGGCATACCAGCTTCTAGACTTAACTCGGTCGTAAGTGCAAAATGCCATCCCATTTGGGCAAATATTAAACGTTTGGTGTACAATAAAAGGTTAATCGAACGAAGTTATATATATGGGAGCTATATCCAAATCTGAACCGATCTCGATAAAATTTAGCAGAGGTATTTCTGAGCTGCAATTGATATATTTCCCCAAATATTGTTGTCAGAGGAGTACATATTACGGCTGTGGAGGATAAAAATAACAAATCGGATGAACAATATATATATGGGAGCTATAGCTATATCTGCACCGATTTCGATCAAATTTGGCATACTTATTTTCAGGCCTAATTAGGTAGAATGTGCAAAATTTCATACTATTCGGACTGATATTAGACGTTTAGTGCACAATAAAAGGCAAATCGGACGAAGATATATATGGGAGCTATATCTAAATTTTTACCGATTATCTCCAATTTCAATAGGGTTCGTCCTTGGGCCAAACAAATGTTGTTTGGAAAATTTCATCTCAATCGGATAATAAATGCGGCCTGCATTTTGTTCACAAGAATACATGGACAGACGGACGGACGGACTGACTATGCATGTCAGAAAGTGATTTTATGGAGATCCTCAAAAGTAACTATGGGTCTTTCTCGCTTCCTTCTCCATGTTACAAACAAATACACAAAGACATAATACCCTTACCACTATGTGGTGTAGGGTATAAAAAGTGCTTGAAATCGGTGTTATCACTTCAGGAGGGCTGTTCCAAAAACTGGACCAATATCACTCACTTTTTGCACCAATGATTCTGAATGTAATTCAAAGATCCCTATCGAATTTCAAAGTTTTCTGCGAAATATATCTCATACTACAAGGGTCACTTTGTATATGACCAGAACTCTATAAAGGGCTATGCAGTGTATGACCTAAGAACAGGACACCTCTTTGAAGTTTTGATCTATGGATGAATAATATCATGTCCAATTTAAATTTTCCACAAACCAGACTGACAATTTCCTTTAAAACTATTGTGCCTAGGTACGAGTACAGGGTGAGATGAAAAAAACTTCCAACAACTTCAGACTGCTGTTATTTCTAAGCCACTCGTTCGACAGCTGTTGAATATTAGATTACATACGTGGACATTTGGGAGTATTTGTGTGTCTTCTACATATCCTCCTCAACGGTAAACTCCTGCCATTCATGACAGAGACCACAGGTCGGCTCGGGGTAAAGCCATTGAAATTCCAAAAAGAAAATAGACTCAAAAGAGATGAAGAGTTGCTTCGCTTGGCCAAAAGTTGTGAACTGCCAAATTTGGTTTTCTCCGATGAGAAAACATTCGTTGTCCAGCAGTTTGTAAGCAAACAGAATGATCGTTATTACTTTCCAAAGAGGTCAGCTGAAAATGTGCAGCTTCAGTTGGCCAACAGAACTCGAGTGTCGGCCATGGTGATGGTGTTTGCCGCCATAACGGCCGATGGTCGCTCTCCGCTCCTCTTAATTGATCGTGGCACCAGAATAAATGCCGAATATTATCGTGAAAATACTCTGGAGGTTGTGTTAAAGCCTTGGACACGCAAAAATTTTGGCCGCAGACTTTGAACATTCCAACAGAACTCAGCACCATCGCCCTCAGCATGCGCCACCCAAAAGTGGTTACAAAATGACGTTCCTCCCTTCATTTCCAGCGCACAATGGCCACCAAAATTTCCGGATACCAATCCTTTGGACTATTGTGTCTGGAGTATTTTCGAAAGCAAAGTTGTCACTAAAAAATACCACATGGTCGATCACCTCAGGCAAGCGCTTCGCCGGGAATGAGCCGAAATACCATAGAGCAATATTCGGGCAGCGTGTGCCCGTTTCTTTAGCCGTTTGATGGCCATATTTGGTGCCAAATGTGACCAATTCCAACAAATCTATACTTATCCTAAAATTTAATAATATTTCCGACATTTTTTGCTTTCATTCAATAAAATTTAATAAAAAAAATGTAAAAATTATGTCGTTTGACTTTGTTGCAGTTGGTTTTTTATCTCACCCTGAAAATACACAAAATCAAAGGATTCCAAAGAATCTTGATCCGAAATTTTCAAAAAATTTAGAAAAGTGCGAACTTGGGAGAGAGGGGAGCTTGTCCCCCTATGTTTAGGTTACTTTGTTTGGACACAATTAGGCGTCTTCTAAGACCTACAGTAAATATTTTATGAGGGGAAGAATTTTTCCCATTTTTTCCAAAAATACCAAAAAGACTCTTTTGACCACTCATTTTGGGTTAAAATCAAAAATATCCTCGTTTTTTTAATCGAAGACGTAATGTTAATTCAAATAATTAAGGTTTTTTTTTTTCCGACCTTTTTATATTTTAATGAAACAAGTGTTGTTCGATCTTGAGGTCCTCAAGCTCTTGTTTCGTTAATTCAAATATTTCAGAAAATAGGGCAAAGGGGGGAGCTTGCTCCCTATATTTAGGTTACTTTGTTTAGCCAAGATTTAGGCCTTTGAAGTCTTGTGAAACCTACAGCAAAATTTTATGACAAAAAATTGGGTTAACATTTTCTATCAAAATAATTGTCTGCACTATTGTCGAATATACCTTAAATCCACGGATTTCAAGGAGTTCTAATCCAATAATTTAAAAAAATATGGAAGAGTAGAAAATCGACCTATATATATATAAAGTCCACAAATATCCCTCACCTGAGTGTTACGTTTTTCGACCGAAATATTACTCGTATTGATGGCTGCAATATTGCCGAAGACACTATATACATAAAAGCAGCGGATTCCAAGGAATGTTAATCCGAAAATGTAAAAAAAAAATAGAACAGTGGGAATTGCCCCCATATTTAAAAAAAATACCAAAAATACCCCCTGTTTTGACTCATTTGAGAGTTAAAATGTTCTACAGTATTGTCGGAGACTCTTTATGGATCAATGGATTCCAAGGAATCTTAAACAAAAAACTTCAAAAAATGTTAAGGTGGGAGAATTTTCTCCCAAAAAGAAGTCAAAGGTCAAAAAGACCCCTTTGTCGACCCACTTGAGGGTTAAAATGTTGGAGCAAAATAATTCTCGTGGCTTGGTACCCAAAGACTAGGATTCTGCCTATTTCAGAAAATATGGAAGAGGGGGAACTTGCTATGTAAACTTACATTGCGATGTAAACTTTCAAAACGCCGATACACATGTCTTGTATTTTTAGGTCTACTTTCATAATCTGCTGATTTTTGTGGCATAGTGTTATTATCGTGTATATATTTTTTTAGTTTTTCTTTCATTTCCACAAAAAAATTAATATTTTTTATTCATTTTTTTTATTTCCAAAAAAAATATTTTTTGTCCCACTGTATGGTAATTAATTTAATTCAGAAAAGGAGATATATCGATGCAAATCAATGAAGAAGACTCTTTCTGGCATTCATATGTAAATTAAAAATTCAATTTGCTAGCAATGTGTGTACATGTGAGATGGTGTGTGTGTGTGTGTGGTTACTTGCCAAAAAAAAAAAATACAAAACTGAAAACTGGAAACTAAAGTAATATTCATTTGCAGTTCATGGATGTTTGCAATTGAACTTTAACATTTGGATGCAAATTTTTACAGCAATACAATACGAAATTGATGCATAAAAATTTAATTTTAATTGAAAATTTCAAATAATTCCTTAAATTTTTCCTCTAATCAGTCTTGCATTGATTTCCAAAAATTCCAATAAAATTTTGGTATTTTTCTATTTTTCATAAACATTTCTTATTAAATTTTCGAAATTTTTCCATTGTTTTCCTTGAAAATATTCGAATATACACTTACATTATGTTTCCACACAACTTTATAAGCTGCCGGATTTGCATGGACTTTGCACTCAAAGTAGACATCATCACCTTCTTCGATGTCTTCGGGATTAAGATTTGAGCCCAAATCTAATTGCAATGTTGGCACAACTGAAACGAAAACAAGAAAATGGGGAAAAATTGAATTTCAAGCAAAATGCAATTTTGATTTATGGAAAAATTTAATTAAAAGAAAATATAAATGAAAAATAAACTGTATGCTTTGTGTTATTATTGCCGAGAAACAGAAGCACACACACACAAACACATGTATGCACGTGTGTGAGTGTGTGTGTGTGTTTATTATCGATAAAAGTTTGTTTAGCTCCCAGATCTTATTACTTGGCTTTGAACAAGAAAATATTCTTATTTTCTTATCGGAAAAAAAGATTTTCTACTTTCTTGTCTTTTTTTTTTTGGGTAAGCATGGATTTTTGTTTTCTTTTGTCTATGTGTTTGGTTTTCTCTTACTCTCTCTCTCTCTCTCCCCTTTTATAAAAGAGAGATTTTTTTCCTTAAAAGACAAGATATGCATGGTTATGTAAGGAAAGCCGGGGAGAGGGGCATCCAAGTAAAATAACACCAAAATAGTATCATTACGGTTTCCGACGAGCTCTTCACAGCAGCTCAACAACAAAGGGTTAATCTGTGATTATCGGGTATTAGTGTCACTTACTTTCCAGCTCAATCTTGGTGAATGTTTGCTGATGGCCAACAGGCAGACAGACAGACAGACACAACGACAGCCAAGGGGGACCCAAGACTTGGTATGTATCTCAGTGTTGTCTTTCGTTTCTTTTTATACCCTCCACCATAGTATGGAGGGTATATTAAGTTTGTCATTCCGTTTGCAACACCTCGAAATACACATTTTAGACCCCACAAAGTATATACCTATATATACTTGACCAGCATAAAATTCTATGTCGATATAGCAATGCTCGTCCGTCTGTGGAAATCACTCTAGCTTCCGAACGAAGATTGACAAAATTTCCGAAAGTAGATTGACAAAATTTTACACAAATGTATGCTATGTCTGCAGGACTTTTGGTATAGAAAATGGGCCAAGTAGGTCCACGTTTTGGCCCCCATATAAGTGTACCTCCCGATATTCGATATTTTAATGATTTTAGCGAAATTTTTCACCGAAATAGTTTGGTATTTGAAGTTGATAATGGATACTACAGCCCATGACAGAAAATTGTCTATGCAGGTCCACGTCTTCGTATAGCCCCCATATAACTGTACCTCCCGATATTCGGTATTTTGATGATTTTAGCGACATTTTTCAACGGAATTGTTTTAAATTTGGTATTTGAAGTTCATAACGGATACTACAGTCTAAGACAGGAAACTGTCTGTGCAGGTCAACGTCTTCGTAGAGCCTCCATATAACTGTACCTCCCGATATTCGGTATTTTTATTATTTCAGCGACATTTTTCACCGGAATAGTTTCAAATTTGGTATTTAAAGTTCGAAATGGATACTACAGCCTGAGACAGAAAATTGTCTGTGCAGGTCCACGTCTTCGTATAGACCCCATATAACAGTACCCCCCGATATTCGGTATTTTGATGATTTTAGCGACATTATTATTCAGAATTGTTTCAAATTTGATATTTGAAGATCGTAATGAATACTATAGCCTATGACAGAAAATTGTCTGTGCAGGTCCACGTCTTCGTATAGCCCCCATATAACGGTACCTGCCGATATTCGGTATTTTAATGATTTAAGGGACATTTTTCACCGGACTTGTTTCAAATTTGGTATTTAAAGTTCGTTATGGATACTACAGCCTAAGACAGAAATTTGACTGTGCAGGTCCACCTCTTCATAAGGCCTCCATATAACGATACCACCGATATTCGGTATTTTAATGTTTTAAGGGACATTTTTTACCAGAACTGTTTCAAATTTAATATTTAAGGTTTGTAATGGCTACTACAGCCTACGACAGAAAATTGTCTGTGCTGGTCCACGTCTTCGTATAGACCCCATATAACGGTACCTCCTTATATTCGGTATTTTGACGATTTTAGGTACAATATTCAGCGAAATTGTTTGAGATGTCGTATTTGAAGTTCGTAATGGAAGCTACAGCCTGAGGCAGAAATTTGTCTGTGCAAGTCCACCTCTTCGTAAGGCCCCCATATAACGATACCTCCCGATATTCGGTATTTTAATGATTCTACGGACAGTTTTCAACAGAATTGTTTCAAATTTAGTATTTAAAGTTCGTAATGGATACTACAGCCTAAGACAGAAAATTGTCTGTGCAGGTCCACGTCTTCGTATAGCCCCCATATAACGGTACCTTCCGATATTCGGTATTTTTTTTTTTTTATTTTATCGACATTATAACCGATTTTTTTTAAGTTTCCCATTTAAATATTGTAATGGCTTATTGCAAATGTTACCTACGCAGGTCCACGTCCTGGTATAGACCCTAATATAACGGCTATATTCGGTATTTTTAAGATTTTAACAGAGATGTAAATGGATTTTATTGTTTTTGAGAATTGTCAAATTCTTTCCAAATGGTGGAGGGTATTCAAAGTTCGGCCCGGCCGAACTTACAGCTTTTTTTACTTGTTTCTTTATTTTAAGGGTATTTTAATTATTTGTAACATGTTTTCCTTACTTAGTGGAATTTCTGTATTCTTTTTTTTTTTTTGTTTCTTCTTCTCATTTAAAAAGGATTTGCAGGATTTACTGGAAGACGAAAAAAGAAAACAGAACTCATTTGGTTTTTGTTTTCTTTTTCGCAACAATATTTGCAATACCCTAAGCTGATTTCCTTTACTTTTCATTTTCCTTTTTTCCTCAGAACTTGTCAGGAATTTTTGTAAATATTGTTATTTTGCCTTCATTGCCTCGTTAAAATGACTAATGACATAGGAACGAAACAGAACAAAATAAAACAAACAAATAATTATATTATCACAAAAAAAGCGAAAGACGTATGAGGAAAATTGAACGATTGACAGTAATAACATTTTGTGGCCACTTCTTAATTTGTTTTCCACACGAATATTGTTTCAGCTGAATGTTTTGAGCAGATTTCAGACACACAAGCTGATAAGCAAAGTTTTCGGGTAAATAAGGAACAAATTAGCAAAAAAAAGAAAAAAAATATATAATAATGAGCAGTTTTATTATTGGCAACAAATTGGCATTTAGGAGGGATGTGGTAGTATGTCAGGGGAGATCACTTTATATTTAAAAATTGTTCAAATACACGATTCAAGAAAATTTTACATTAAAAATTCGGAATTTCGGGATGGATGGATGAAAAATCAGTAAGAAAATGTCAAAAGTCAGGCGGGACGGCTATATGGTACTTTTTACATCACTATGCGTAATTAGTAGAACTGCCGCAAAAAAAAAAAAAAAAAAAAAAAAAAAACAAGTTAAAAAGCAGTAAGTTCAGCCTGGCCGAACTTTGAATATCATCCACCAGTTGGAAGGAATTTGAAAATTTTCAAAATATAAAATCCTTAAAAAATTCTATTAAAATTTTAAAAATACCGAATATAGCCGTTATAGTGGGGTCTATACGACGTGGACCTACATAGGCATTGTTTGTCATAAGCCATTACCATATTCAAATTTGAAATTTGAAATAAAGGGTTAATAATGCAGCTAAAATCATCAAAATTTCGTATGTACGGAGATACCGCTATATGGGGGCTATACGAAGACATGGACCTGCACAGACAGTTTTCTGTCATAGGCTGTAGCATAACGAACTTTAAATATGACATCTCAAACAATTTACCGAATATAGGGAGGTACTGATAAATGGGGCCTTTACGAAGACCTAGACCTGCATAGACAATTTTCTGTCACAGACTTTAGTTCCCCTTAAGAACTCTAAATACGTAATTTGAAACAATTCCGGTGAATAATGTCACTAAAATCATCAAAATACCGAATATAGGGAGTTACCGTTATATTGGGGCTATACGAAGACGTGGACGTGCACAGACAATTTTCTGTCTTAGGGTGTGGTATCTATTTCGAACTTCAAATACCAAATTTGAAACAATCCCGGTAAATAATGACGCTAAAATCATGAAAATAACGAATATCGGGAGGTACCGTTACATGGGGGCTATACGAGGACCTGGACCAGCATAGACAATTTTCTGTCATAGGCTGTAGCATCCATTACGAACTTCAAATATGACATTTTAAACAATTTCGGTGGGTATTGTATCTAAAATCATCAAAATATCGAATATTGGGAGGTACCGTTATATGGAGGCTATACGAAGACGTGGACCTTCATAGACAATTTTCTGTCAGAGGCTGTAGTATCCATTTCGAACTTCAAATACCAAATTTGAAACAATTCCGGTGAATAATGTTGCTAAAGTCATCAAAATACCGAATATTGGAAGTTACAATTATATGGAGGCTATACGAAGACGTGGACCTGTTCCGACAATTTTCTGCCTTAGGCTGTAGTATCCATTACGAACTTCAAATACCAAATTTGAAACAATTCCAGTGGCATCGCAAAGTGTCTTGTTAGAATGTAAGGTCGTATCGCAAAAGAGTCTTGTTAAAAATTATGGTCGTATTGAAAAGTGTCTTGTTAAGAAGTATGGTCGTATCGCAAAGTGTCTTCTGAAAGGGTATGGTCGTATCGCAAAGTGTCTGGTTATCGCAAAAGGCCTTATTAAGAAGTATGGTCGTTTCGCAAAGTGTCTTGTTAGAAAGTATGGTCGTATCGCAAAGTGTCTTGTTAGAAAGTATGGTCGTAGCGCAAAGTGCCTTATTAAGAAGTATGGTCGTTTCGCAAAGTGCCTTATTAAGAAGTATGGTCGTATCGCAAAGTGCCTTGTTAAGAAGTATGGTCGTTTCGCAAAGTGTCTTTTTGGAATATATGGTCGTTGCAAAGTGTCTTGTTAGAAATTATGGTTGTATCACAAAGTGTCTTGTTAAAAAGTATGGTCGTATCGCAAAGTGTCTTGTAAGAAAGTATGGTCGTATCGCAAAAGTGTCTTGTTAAAAATTATGTTCGTATTGCAAAGTGTCTTGTTAAGAAGTATGGTCGTATCGCAAAGTGTCTTCTTAATATGTATGGTCGTATCACAAAGTGTCTTTTTAGAAAACATGGTCATATCGCAAAAAATGTATGGTCGTATCGCAAAGTGTCTTTTTGGAATGTATGGTCGTTGCAAAGTGTCTCGTATCGCAAAGTATGGTGTCTTCTTAAAATTTATGGTCGCATAGCAAAGTGTCTTGTTAGAAAGTATGGTCGTATCGTCAAATTTCACATAGATGTCATTGTTGGTGTCTGTGGTTAAGATATGGGGGTTCCATTGGAAATGTGTCCCATCATCATGCGAAAAGTACTAAGTGGGACGAAATTGGGTATTGGGTGAAAGGAAAGAGGTGAAATCCCGAAATTCAATATTGTGGTCTCTTGGATTGAGATATGGAAGTGGCTTTGGAAATGTGTTCTAAAATAGTTCGAAAAGATCGCTTTCACTTTCTTCGCTCTTAAAGCCTCTACAGACCTTAGGGCTGGATAGGTCAAAAAATTAAAAAAGCAAACCAGGTCATTTTTCTTGAACAGGGGGATCCTAGAGGGCTGCAGTGCCACCCTTTATATAGGAGTGTAGGTCGTTTGCTGTGAAGAAGAGGAATCTAAAAACTTCCTCATCACCACAGTACTTGGCTTCCGCGGTCATTGGGAAGGAATTGAGCTGGCGGCTGAATCACGGAAGCTAATGTCAGACAGGGGGATCCTAGATGGGTGCAGTTTAGCAGTGCCTTTATGTAAGAGTGAATGTCGTTTGCTGTGACGAGGAGGAATATAAAAACACCCTCATCACAACATTACCTGGCTTCCGCGGACTTTGGGAAGGAATTGAGCTGGCGGCTAAATCATGGAAGCTAGTGTCAGTGCCACCAACATTCATGAGGGCTATGCGAAAACGTGACTTATATATAGCACATTTTCAATACCAAAACTTTATTGGTTTCATTGGCCGTTTGAAGGCCATAATTCGAACAAGACGAAACTTATTCAAAATTTAATGCTATTTCCGGCATTTTTTGCTGTTATTCAATTAAATTTAAATATAATTGCCTTTGACTTTGTTGCAGTTTTTTATCTCACCCTTTACGTATGTACCGTTATATGGGGGCTATACCTAAATGTGAACCTATATAGCCCATTTTCAATACCAAAAGTTCTGCAGACCAAAGACACATCTGAATAAAATTTTATCATCCGTCTTCATTTCGTTTGGAAGCTAGAGAGATTTCCATAGATAGGCAGGCGAACATAGCTAAGGCGACATAGAATTTTATGCTGACCAAGAATATTTATGCTTTGCGGGGTCTAAAATTTATATTTCAAGGAATAACCAACTTAATATACCCTTCATACTCTCTTGAAAGCTATCAAAATATTTATCTAATAATTAAATAAACGCTTCTCGAAAACTTGTTTCATTTATTTACAACACCCCTTACAATTAGCAACAAATTCTCAAGTCCACTTCAAGAGCCCTTAAAAAGTTCTAAATAAATTTTCTTTAGCCACTTACAGCCTTTGAATTATGGAAGCCAAACAAATTTGGCTCGCCTCTGTCTGATAGCTTGATTGCCAAAGTTCAATAATGTTTTAATACCTGCATTTGAATTAATCGCAAATTGAAAAGAGCCTTTTTTTGTTAATTGTTTACTTCAAAGTTTTTAATTAATGCGCCTTAGACTAACAAAAGGACAAAAGTCCGGGTTCAAATGAAAAAAAGGGGTCAATCAAAGGGAATTGTTCGCAACAACTGCAGCAGCAACAACAATGTTGTTAATTCCATTGAAAATGAAAGTAAGTGGATAATAATCAAGTGAATGAGTGAGAAGTGGGGGAGGGAGGGAGGGAGGGAGGGACCTTTGTATGTAAAGCACTTAAAATCTGAAGCCCTAGTAATCAACGTAAATCACTTTTCAGTCAATTGGCCAATGCAGAAGGACATAAGCACCCACTTGAAAACGGGCAAAGTCGAGGCGAATAAATATTAGATAATTAAATTTGATATTATGATGGCTGAGCTGGGGGTACGATACAATTCATTGTCGATTCGCCCAACTAAAAAGGTGCGCTGCTTGCTTCCTGTTCGCCTGTATTATATGACCTTTGATTACCCCTTTTTGCTGCTTTTGTAGATCCTTGCTTTATGTCTGTTTTTTTTTTTTTGCTTTGAGGGCTTGCTCTTTGTATTTTTATTACACCATGAGGTGGATGGATATCTCTCTTAAGCCTTCTCCCTACCCCCCCCCCCCCCCCCCCCCTTTCGCTAAGCTTGTAAAATCGTATTTTGTTTATTCATTCATATCCACTTGCTCTCCCCCCATTTTTCCTCTCTTTGGACCCGTACTTTGTTTGTAGTTTGCTGGCTCGGCCAGGGGTATGCCGTACACGAAGTCTTCACTAAGTATGGCCCGGGTAATGGTAATGTTTTAATGGGCTTTGTGTTTATAAAATTGAATGTGAAGGGTGTTGGGATAATAAAATGAGCCATGGACTAGTACTTTTAACTTGCCACGATGACAGTCACATAGCCTTGGCTACCATTGCCTGAGCATAGACCTCCCTTGGTGTTGGCTACTGTGTGGAAAGTATTACCAGCTATAGAATATTGAAACCCAAGCTAAATCCTGTGGTCAGAACAACGAATCTCTCATTTTCCCCCTTTTTACTTACCTTTTACTTTACATAAAAATACTGCAACACCAAATTTTATTAGACATTTTTTTTCTGTCGTCATCGTTGTTGCTCTGAGCTTATTAAGGAAAATAAAGTAGCAGCACGGCAAGCGCAACAACAACAACAACAACATTGCCAGTAAAAACGCAAAGGGATAAAAAGAGCTTTTCGTGATGGCACTTTGGGTATTTACTCGGTTTATTTTTCAAAATTAAAAACAAACCCGACAAGGCTCGTTCATAGTGGCCAAAGCTGCCGCACTCTCTGGTAACTGGGAGCAAACAAGATGGCATCTGCTGCTGCTGCTTCTTCTCGTCGTCTTCTTGGTCTTCTCCCATACAGCAGAGCTTAGTGTTAATGTGATGAAAAGCAAGGATTTTATACGTGGCATGTTTTTAAAGAAACAAACAGCAACAACAAGAACAACAAACAAATAACAACAAACTGGGTTAGCTATATTGCGCGGATATTAATAGAACCATCAACAGTAAACAGAATATGGGGAGAGACAGTGAGGAGGCACAAGGTAGTGAGAGAGAGAGGGAGTAAGTTTTGTATGAACTCTAAGAGTGGTCGGCTAGAGGGCCTCAAATTGAAATCATGAGAATAATTATAGCATTTGGCCTGCATGCAACCTGCATGTTTCCATTAATCGTTTGATTCAAACATTTCTTTCGTTTTACTGATTTTTTTTTCAATCATTTCAAATTAGTTTTTATATTGATTTTTAAATAAATAGACAAACATCCAAACTTAGTAGTTTTGAGAATTTTAATTACTGGATTTGTTAACGAATATTTTCCACGGACTCGCAAGGAAATAATTGAGAATTTTTTTCAGAAGAAATTTTAGAAACAAGATTTTTTCCAAACAAAAAATCATGATTTGGGGAGATTATTTTTTCACTTGCAATTACTTTTTATAAAAAATATCTTCAAGGTATAGGTAAAGATATAAATGGGAATTAAAAAAAAATTAGAGACAAGATTTTTCCTAATCAATTATTTTTTTCAAGGTCACAGAGGTATGATTGCGAATATTTTGAGGAAGAATAGAGATATGATATTGAAATTTTATTAAAAAAAAAAAAATAAATAAATAAATAAATAAATTAAATGGCATTGTATTCTACTGGAAAAAAGACCCCAACCGAGATGTAATTGTGAATATTTTTATTTTTTTTAAAAAATAAGGATATAAGGATCTTTGATTATAGAAAAAAAATATATTTCAAAGACATGACATCCCCAAATCGTGAATTTTTTGAGGACTATCATATTAATCGAGTATTTTTTAAGAAATATTACTTCAAGGCTAAGCAGATCACCAACAGTGGACCTGCGGTGTGAATAATAGATTTTTAAGAAATATTTTTCTCAGACAAACAAAGCTATAATCAAGGATCTATAATCAATTGCTTCAAATACAGGGTGAGATGAAAAAACTACAACCAACACCAGACTGCTGTTATTTCTAAGCCATTCGTCAGGCAGTCATTAAAATTATTCCAGTGACAGCTCATTATATTGTTTACAGGCGTACAAGAGCACTTTGGTGAAAATTTTCCAGAAAAAAAGCTATTCGTGATGCAATCGAGGCGTGATAGTGTGATTTCTTTATATTTGGCTGGAAAACCACAAGTGGCTATCGTTAGAGCACTCCACCACTTAAATGTGAATAAATCTTTTGTGCCTCGTACCATCGCTCGTTACCGATCACGTGATAATTGTAGCGTAGCCCGACGTTAAGAAAAATGGACGGAAGAAAACAGCAACATCAGCAGAAATGGTTCGAAAGGTGAAGAAAAATGGCGCGTGAGCTGAACATATCTCAATATATTAAACAAGTAAAAAAACATTAAGTTCGGCCGGGCCAAACTTTTAATACCCTCCACCCTAGGGTAAAAGAACATTAGAAGAAATGTGGCAAAAAACATTAAAATGCCGAATATCGGGAGGTACCGTTATATAGGGGCTACACCAACACGTGCACCTATAATTACAATGTTTCGCCACACGAACTAGGACCTATTATGACCCACAAATACCAACTTTTACACAAATCAGTGAAAAAATGTGGCATAAATCATCAAAATACCGAATATCGGGAGGTACCGTTATATGGGGACTATACCAGAACGTGGACCTATACATGCAATGTTTTGCCACACGCTCAGGGACCCGTTGTGACCTACAAATACCAATCTTCAGACAAATCCGTGAAAAAATGTGGCATAAATCATCAAAATACCGAATATCGGTAGGTACCGTTATATGGGGGCTATACCAAAACGTGGACCTATACATGCAATGTTTTGCCACACTCTCAGGGACCCGTCATGACCTACAAATACCAATTTTCAGATAAATCCGTGAAAAAATGTGGCATAAATCATCAAAATACCGAATATCGGGAGGTACCGTTATATGGGGACTACACCAGAACGTGGACCGATATATCTCATTTTCAATACCAACCATCCTAGGGACAATACACACTCTTGTGCCAAATTTCAAAGGTCTACGTCAAATAATGTGGGCTCTATCGTGATTTCAACAGACAGACGGACAGACAGACAGACGGACAGACAGACGGACAGACAGACATCGCTAAATAGTCTTAGAATTTTATGCTGATTATGAATATATGTACTCTATGGGGTCTACGACGAATATTTAGAGGTGTTACAGACGGAATGACAAAGTTAATATACCCTCCTACCCATGGTGGAGGGTATAAAAATGAGCTCGGGTTAAACCCAAGAAGTTCAAGAACTTGCTCCGCAACAGAAAGAAAATAGACCCAAAAGAGCTAGAGCGTTGCTTCGCTTGGCCGAAAGTAGTGAACTGCCGAATTTGGTTTCCTCCGATAAGAAAACAAGAGGTCAGCTGAAAATGTGCACAATGGGTTGGCCACCAGAACTCAAGCGCCGGCCATGGTGATGGCGTGGGCCGCCATTACAGCCGATGGTCGCTCTCCGCTCGTATTAATCGACCGTGGCATCAGAATAAATGCCGAATATTATAGCAAAAATATTCTGGAGGGTGTATTAAAGCCTTGGGCACGCAAACATTTTGGCCGCAGGGCGTGGACATTTCAACAGAACTCAGCACGCGCCACCCAAGAATGTTTACAAAATGAGGTTCGTCGCTTCATTTCCAGCGCACAATGGCAACCAAAATCTCCGGATACCAATCCGTTGGACTA